GGTTGCTGATAACGCCGATGATCAAATGGTGTGTAATGACTAGCCAGTGGTGGACTTCCGTCTAGCTTGTGGGCGCAATGTCGTTAGGACGTGCTTAGTAAGGTTTGAGTTTCACAAGGACCACGAGAATCTGAGAAAGAAAACAGGAAGAGTCAAACTTGAGAAGTACAAATTGTATACTTGACTTTAAAAATAAGTAGATAGACCTTTTTATTTTCATATTTATTTATTTATTTTATATCTGCCAGGACAGAAACCAGTTTACAAGCTTCATCAAACCAACAACTGTAAAAAAGATGAATCTTGAGCGGTCCTTGGTGGTACGGAAAGTAGATCAGTAGGCCTTGTTTCAACACCAAAAGCTACTTTATATTTCTTTTGACTGCATTCACTTATCTTCATCCTTCACCTGACTACCTTTTTACTTGATGTGCTGATATGAGGTGTGGCAACTCGGACCGTGAGGCAGTAATGCCTGGTCCTATGTTGATAATGATGATGATGATGATATCTCCAGAGCAAAGCGTTTTATAGTTTTAATTATCTTTTTAAGCCCTCGGGGCTTGAGTTTAGGACAGGATGATTTTAATTCGATCTAAAAGTAGTTTGTCAGTGTCACTTGCAAATAAGGATTGTCATAAGTGCAAACTATCCATAACGAAGGAATTTTCGTACACAAAGTTGTACGGTCTCATTAGTATTATTACAGACACTGGTTCCTTTAGTGAAGGATGGGAACCTTGCTGATGCAATTGTATAGCATATCAATATTTGGTTAGGAGAAAAGTAAGTTGACTAATCTTATAAACTATTTTCCTTGATCCAGTCACGTTTTGACTTTATCGAAATAGTGGGGTTTGATATAGATATAGATATTTGAGTGGTTTTTCTTACTGTTAGAAATTATTTATGGATACATTTATAACCTTATAGTTCGCACTCTTAAGAAACTAGTTCTACTGGTGTTTTCTGCGGCTTATCAGCTTTTGCACTTACCCATCCAGTTAGAAAGGTTATCCGACTGTTTTTGACCAGGAAATAGCATTGTCACTTGTTCGATTGTTTGGATTTTCAAACATATCCGGTAGACAGTTGTTTATCTGCAGTCCAGTTACTCAACAAGACGATCTACATTTTGCATGTATTTGCCAGACAGTAGATAAAATCTTAGTCTAAACCATATGTTCCAAAAATAAGTTACTACAGTGCAATCATTGTTTACCGAGTTGAGATACTATGGAGTCTCTAATGTCTTTCGGTAAGGGAAGAAAAGTCAGATCTCATAATGCCTGTTTAGAGTTTAAATTAGAATTTGTTTCATTGCATTTCTATTAGGCGCATTCATGCACCTATTAAAACAGATATTTTTGAAAGCAATTACCTGAAACGGAATAAGGTGTGTTTAGTGTATTTGGGGTCTAGTTAAGCTACCCAGCGTCTAGTTTTCGCATTCCAATACTTCAATATAAGGTTATCAGTGAGTGGGATTGTGGTAATTTACAACATTCTTCACTGTATCTTTGCTGTAAACTCAATCTCAGCTACGTCATTGATACTTCCTATGTGCTTCTGGCGCGATCGATCCTCTGTTATAGAATGTCACTATTGATATCAGAATGTAGTCGTTTTTGTGACTTATAACCTTATCAAAGTATACGCTAATAAAAGTGGAGTGTGATTTACATCCACTGTGAGCTATCTTTCAGGGATTATTGAGTGTTAATTTAAGAGCATATTAAGAAAACTTTTGTACTGCTTGTTCACAACAGTACTGATATCTATGTACCCATACTGTCATTCTCGTATGCTTTTGAATGCATAAGTACATATACGATATCATTAAAGACACAGTTTCTCTCTCTAGTAAAAAGTATACCGTTTAGTCGTGTAGAAATAAGTGATATTTAGGCTACTTATGAATTGTGAGTAGTCTGAAAAAGTAGATGAAAACCAATTTGTCATTTGTTCATTTTGCTGTGAGATAATCAGGCAAAAGAAATGCTGAAGGATATAGAATAATGCGGAATAATGCGCACTGAGTCATGCCATTTCTTATCCGCAAACTAGGAGTTGGTACTACCGACTTCTGAAGCTTCATCTCGTATTTGCTGTGAGGAATTCATGCCAAATGTATTCAGATTTTCGATTGGTTTTCATAAAACATTGGATTTTACCAGTGTCTTCACTCAGCAGGACTAATGAATAGGAAAACTGATTCCAAACAGTCATGCGTTTGGGCTCCGGAACAAACCAATGGGGTATGAACCTACTTTGGTCACTGACAAGCATGGAAATGTAGCACCTGACGTTACGTGACCATGTTACAAATTTGACTTCAAATCGAATGCTCGAAAAGTGGTTTTTTAAAATAACCATTTGTTCAGTAAATTCAAAATGAAGCTTCACCAATCAAAACTGTCATCCAGATCAGTAAACCTGCTCTGTTTGTAAGGCGCTCATACCCAATCCGTATGTGGTTAGTCAGTTAAGTCTACTTAAGGATGCAGGTATACTATTCAGTTTCAGGGCAGAAAATGCACATGTCGACTGGTTGGTACAGTGAACACTTAGGAAGTTACTAACATTGCGTCATTTTTTTATCTTTGCTTATTCACTGACTAATAGCGGTAATCGCCTGCTGGAATTGTCGTCAAACAACTGTGACTCCACCCGGGGATTGTAGCCATGACCATCAAGCATCATAATCATCACGTTACAATCCAGCCTCTGTCAAAATCCAATGGCTTTGCTCGTATGTGATAATATTCGGTGATATACTATGAATATTTGTAAGAGCTTTTCTTGAATCGGTTTGATGACTCCTATCCACCATATAAGCAAGTATTATTAGTATTATTTTCCCACTTAACCATGATGGACGAAAATGCTGACAATATAGCGTCTTCTGATCTCTTTGAGCAGAAACCTTAGTATGTTCAGCAAGCGTTTCGCATTTGACAAATGTAAGATGACGCTCCAGAACTGGTCTGCAACTGCTCTTAGTTTAGAGATAGGAAGTGAAATGGTTGAATGCGTTGACAACTTCACTTACTTGAGGGAGTTGCATCAACTGAAAAAGGCTGGTAGCTGACAAAATCTCAGCTCAAAAAAAGAAATCCCCTATGGTATTTATCAACTTGCGTCATCTCTGGCACCAACTCGCGAGATATTCGACTACCGATAAAGGAATGAGTATACTGCTTTGCAGCACGTTCTGTTTATGCGCCTGTGACATGACCATTAAAAGTAGAAGGCATGAAGAGGCTACAGGTTTTTCCCCAGGTGTCTCGCAGCATTTCTCGCGTACGGTGAAATCACCATGTGAGTGAAGGGTTCTAGGGAATGGAGGTAAGTCGGTCAATGAGGTTGTGGACCTTCAGTTACTGAGATGGTATGTACATGTGTTATGTAGCCGAGACACTGCCTATGTCGGTGTTATGTTAGCCGAAATTGGATTGTGTTGTAAGCAGGCTGAGGATGGTCGAACGGAGACGTTCTACCAATTCATGAAGTCTCTGACTATCGGTCAGAGCCGTGTAGAAAGGTGTATACTACCTGTCTGAGGTCGTCGAGACTATAAGAATCAGTGGTTGAGAAGTCTTGTTGACAGCTAAAAATCGGTCACAATGACGCAGATGCATTCACTCTGATATCTTCTAAAGCTTGAATATTTTGACTTAATCTAATTTTTAAATTTCCTCTTCCTCCATACATCTGTGTCTACTTTAATATCAGTCTCACCTATCCATTTGTTCTTTGTGTAGTACTATGAAGTGCTGGTTAAGTTGAACGGATAAACTTGTGTGCGAGGTTCTACGCTGATTTTGTCTGTCTGCTTTTGACAAGTTCGTTTCCACTAGAGATAAGCTTGAAATATGGGAATATAAAATGTTTGTTTGGTCTGTTCAATTTTCCTGCCTTTAACGCCTGAGTTCGACATTTCTATGCTTATTTGGAGCAATGCAACACATAACATCGTTTTGTTACACATGACTTTTAAATGTAATGTGTTTAGAAAGTCTTTTCGTGTTTGACCACCGTTTTCGATCGTCGTTTGTTTACGATGAAATTGCCGAGTAAGCAAGTACTAATCTGTGTTGTAAATTACTAGTAGAAAAGTGTAGCCCATGTATTTCAATTGGTTGTAGTGTTTGTGGTCTATGTTAACCACTCATATGTATTTCGTAACTTAACTAGTAATTTTAAATTATGAAGAAGACAAAAGAAAACTTAGAGCGGTTATTTCAGGAAACAATACTAATCCACATTTTCTAAGTGTTGTTTTGAGCTACTTAGTGAAATTCAGTTTGATTATATATTATGCTTTGTTGTTGAGGGTGCTAGGAAGTTAAAATAAGTCACTCAAAAATATAAGTGGTTAGGTTCATAGTCGTCTAAACTAGTGCTATCACAGCCATACCTTATCTTCAGCCAATTAATTCTGTATGTTCTGTTCCTCTTGTCGCTGTTTTCCTTGTCTAATTCTAGTTTATTTACTACTGATGATGTCACAGCTTTCATCAAGAGTTTGAAGAATCTAGTATTGAAACACATTCGAGTTTGTCTACTAGATGTATAACCTAGTCCAGTAGTATTATTTATTTTATGACTTTCCATACATAATTTATTGTCCAGAGTAGTATCAAGGTGATTCTAGAACTTCGAAACGGTTTATATTTCCCCAGTTCTCTCCTTTGCGATGGGGTTATTATAATCTTCATGATATTAGAAAGATTTTAAAACTAAAACCATCTCTCAAGTTTTGGAGTTGCCTTGATGTAACCATAATCTATAAATTTTATCCGGTAAACTCTCTGGAAAATAACAACATTTCACTGTGTTATGTTTAATAAACAAACTCAAATAAAATTGCAGTCTACCGGTGTTCAAATTTAGCTTTCATAATAACTGCATGTTCACCTTTTAAAGAAATATATGGCTGAGTCTGCAAAATCAATGTTGACTTTTACCTGTTACCTTTCTTAGTGAAAACTTATTGCATGTCAGGACATAGGAAACTCATGGATTTCGGAAATGAACAACGGATTTCACCTAGGGTCTATCAATTGGCTCAAATAGTTTATCGGGAGTTTGAGATTATGAAAACTATTTGTGGCGAATCCTCGTATGGAAGATTGGTGCCTATTGTGATCAGTATTCTAGAAGAGATGGACCTTTTAATTCTGGAGAAGCAGAAGTTGGATCTTGATTTAAATCTGCTAACTGCTGAGAAGAATGATCTTTCTGTCCAGCTATGTCGTCAAAAAGAGCTTTATATGGCCTCAAAAAGGGTATGTTTTGTTTCTCTATATGGCTATTCAGTTTGTGTATGTAGCATATTCACTGTTTAGAAGACGAACTTCTTGGAATGAAAAAAGAGACGGATAAAAAGTTGGGAGAACTGGAAGACAGTCTCAGACACTATCGACTTCTTACCAAAAATGCTAATGACCACAGTAAGTCCATCTTTCTAACGCTCATTTTAGTGGTATGATTCGTTCACGATTTATATGCAAGGTGTTTTGAAATCATGGTGATGATTGATTGTAGCGTTGTTGGATAAACTGTGAGCATAAAATGTATGATATGGATATGGAAGATAAATTATATCTGAAACGTTATCTAGTAAATGATACTGTTTCACTGTGTGTCATTTCTAACTAACAGACTTAAACGCAATTACAATCTACCACAGTGCCCAGGTTATTTATTTAAGTATGCATACAAGTACTCTTTTGAATGTCGACTAGCCTCTGAGGTAGTACAGTAGCACCCATCTCTAGGTTCGTGCAACCGATGGCTGTTACCTTAACGTGGTGGTCTGTCTTTCGTATTCAAATGGCTTAGAGACATATGCTTGCTGGGATGATTGTTCTTTGATGTCCTACCAGTCCAGAAAAGTCTATTGAATAGCAGTAAGACTAAAAGCGGATTCCATTATCGCGTAAATAGCTTACGCTACGGCGGGGGTCATGCTACTGGCTAGACAAGGTGTGATAGCAGTGTGGTGTTCCCCGCGGGTAAATATTCCATGCTGATGCTATTTTATTTAATCAAAAAGGGGTTAAAATAGACCAGCCCAAAAAGTATCTCACCCCCCACCTTGCAATCTTGTAGTACCGGCGATATAGGTTTTTCATTTATGGAGGTAATAACATAAAATTTTGATCGAAAACTCTTAAAGAGGCCACGCGGCCAGCCTCAAGCAGAGTCACTTGGGTTCTTTGGCCACGCACAACTAACCCACTCTCTCTTTCAAGTACCACGGGAAAACCAACGGTTTGGGTAGTCAGTAATCAGTAACCACCACCATATCTGCGGCAGTTACGAGACCCAGTTAATTATAACCTGTCTTCCTTGTCTGTCTCCTCCCTTGCTTTCACTACCTGTCTGTGGCGCCAGCACTGACCCTGTACGGTTTCCCTAACTTCTTACTGTGCAACCATAAGTAGCGATCGACGTCAGCGAAACACGATATGTATTCTTCTAGACTTGCGTGACCTTCAGTGCCTGAACCGTGTGCCGAATTGGACAACAAGCCTTAGTTGTCAAAATTCCGTGATCTTCGGCAATGGGCGCGTGTTGGGTTTCTTCGAGACGCACATATAAGATCACTAAGCCTTGCTTAATCGTTGTGGGGAATGTGCCAAATTCACATTGAGATTGTACGAGGATTCGATGGCTAGCTTCTGTTGACTTGCTGATTTAAGTATTACATTAAGTTTTGAAGCAGAAGTGTATCTCAACTTTATACTAATGGATAACCGTCTGTCGGGTGTGCGGCGAAATCGATTCGTTTGAACTGTAAAGGATGATGATATTATTATTTGTCTCTTGGGTTCCTAGTGGAACAAAGGGCTTCAGTAGCACGTCTCCATTTCACTCTCTTCTCTGCAGTCTTTTGAACTTGGCTCCACGAATGCCTAGAAGCTTTCATTTCTTCCTCACACGATCTCCTCCATGTCACTCTCACCTCGGACGCCCAACTCGTCGTTTCCCATGCGGGTTCCACTCGAAGGCCTAGTGTGTGAGATATCCCTAGACCATCTTCTCAATGTATGGCCAATCCAATCCATCTTCACTTTCTTCTGCATATTTGTTGCGCGATAGGTTCTTGGATAGTTTGTCGCCAGGTCAGAATCTCTTGTTGCTTATTCTTATTATTCTGGACACCTGATCGATATTCAGTTTGGAGTGAGCTTGGGCGGCAGCTGTTGATGTAATGTGATGTGTGTCTGTAGTTTGTTGGAAATGCTCTTCGTAACGCGCCAAGTCTCAACCATATAGAAGCACTGACGTGACCCTGGCTTCGACGTCGTCATTTGTCCCCTTGTGTTGCGTGTAGTTGGAACAATGCTACCTAGGTAGGTGAAAGAGACAACTTCATTAGATTTCTCCCATTGATGGTGATTGGTGCTTGTTGTTGGTGGTTGGGTATCTTCAGTATGTTCACCTGAAGGAAGTGGCGTCTTCGCTGCCCTGCCTCGCTTCCTCTGTCAACTTGTTACTTTTCGCCTGTAGATCTTCGAGTTTGTACGACAAGGTATTGGACATAAGTCATCATCGGCGAAATCCAAATCTTCTCTTGGGGTCTTTTCATCGGTGCAGCTAGCGTATGGCCATCTTCTCGATTTTCACAGTTTGTTGAATGATCCAGTCCAGTCCAGTCGTCCCCAATCAGGAAGACCGTTGGTGATGGTATCTGGCAGCCTTGTCTTACTCCTGTCTTTACTCCGAAGGCATCACTGAGCTTTCCACTGTGAACCAATTGGCATGTAGCATCACATAGCACAGCATATAGCTGTTGAATGAGGTTGATAAATGTTTGTTGCACTAAATCCGTAGTGTTGAAGCAGCTGTCAACTTACTTATTCGTCGACGCTGTCGAAGGCCTTTTCGACATCAATGAAGTTGAGGCATTCTAGGCTCTGTTGTATGATGGTGCGTAGCGTTGCAATTCGATCCGGACATGATTTGTTTTTCCTGAAGCCAGGCGGTTCCTGTCGTAATTTTGAATCCGGCGCATCTTTTAGTCTCTCCAGGATGGTGTGATTCAAGAGTTTTATGAAGTAGTCAACCCATCGTTTCCTTTTTTTCCCCTCTTTGCTAACTGGGTTTCCTTCACTGTCTTTCATTTGTTTCATCTGCGTTGATCTCTTCCCTCCCAGATAGTAACCTGGTTATTTGATATGGTGTTGTCAAGTCTCTGTTTCTCCTACCAGCAGCCTGTTCTGCTTCACTTGCAATTGTGTCATAGAAGTATCTTTTATCTTTCTGCGCACTTTTCACTTCTTTGTCCAGTGTTTTATATCTTGTGTTCAGTTTCTCTTTCCGTTGTTCATCCTCTGCTTTACTGTCTTCTTCTCGTCTATCAGCTTCCATGTGTCCGTGGAGATGTATTCCGTGTCTTGTTTATTTCTCCTTCCTTACACGGTTATGCAGGTTTCCTTGCACGTCGCTTTCACAGAGTTTCAGTGTTTTTCTACGCAGGTTTCCTCTAGGATGTTGCTTAGTGTCTCCCATTTTTTCCTGATGACTGATGTGAAGATGTTCTTTGTAGTTTCGTCCTTCGGCTCAGTTTCTGTTCTGGGTGTTGAACTTGAACTGTGACCTATCACCAGCTTCTTCTTCGAAGGCTTTCAACCTGATTTTGAAGGTAGGTTGTTTGCACTAGATAGTGAGTGATGTGAACCTACATCTGCTCCCCTTCTTGATCTGATCTTGAGTTCAGTAGGCTGCGTCTCCACATTCTTGAAATTGAGATGAAGTTGACCTGATATTTATTGTGTCGTCGTGTCTGGTGAAATCCATGTTGCTTTGTGAATATTTTTGTGTTTGTACACACTGCCTCACCTCCAATCACCAAATCGTTGAATGTGCAGAAGTCTGCAAACAGTTCTCCATTCTCATTCATCACTTTACCGAGTGCCTCTTGACCCACGATGAGTTCTTTTCCTGTATTGTAGTTGTCTATAGGATTCCTCCTTCATTTGATCTGCATTATTTGTAGTTGCGTAGCGCAGCATTGTATGATTATAACTTTCCTTCCTCTTGATTTGAATCTTGCTGTCATGATCCTGCAGGAGGAGATTGGCTCCCACTGCATGAGAGCCTTCGATGCTCCTGGGAACATCGTGATAGCCACTCGAAGACTCAGTATGCTCGTGATTGTCGTCTGGGTGACAATATCGGAGTAGATTATTGACTCTCCAGTAGACAGTTTGGAGAGTCCACTTCCATTCCATCTGCTGTCGCAGATTCCTAGTCTAGCACTTCTATGTTATACTTCCTCATGTCATTGGCGATTTGGGCAGCCTTGCCAGCCAGCTTCAAACATTGTCCGGACATTCCATTTCCCCATTCTTGCTTTCACTTTCATTGAGAGAAGAGGAGGTACATCGGCCAATTGGCCTCTTGAAGGTTTTCACCAACCGGTGTTATTTTGTCTCCCTGATTCCTGCAAAGTATAAGTGTGTTACTATTTTCTCTACTTCATCTGTGTTTTGAGGTTTTTTTGGCGTTGGAATTGATTTTCCTGCGTGGGGTTGCTATCCCCACACCCAACTTTCCATCTTTTTCCGGGCACGTAAATTAGGTAATCATGTTAAGGATGGGTCGTGGCTAGCATTGGAATCCAGGATGCGCATTTCGTCTTATTTGAGACTCGTCAGCGGGATGTAGCTGCTTCCCAGTGAGTGTTGTTCCCACCGGGATTCGGACTCGGGAGCGATCGTTTCAAACGCCAGCGCGTTAGGCACTACACCACCGGGCCACGAAAGCCACTTCTTGTGGGACGGGTGGTGTAGTGGATAACTCTCTGGCGTCTGAAGCGATCGCTCCCGAGTCTGAATCCCGGTGGGAACAACACCACTCACTGGGAAGCAGGTACATCCAGCTGATGAGTCCCAAATAAGACGAAATGCGCATCCTGGATTCCACTGCTAGCCACGACCTATCCTTAACATGATTACCTAACTTACTTACTAGGCACGCCTTTCAGTGACAGACACTGCCATAAGACTTCTCGATCAACGGAGTCAAATGCCGCCTTCAGGTCGAGAAATACAGCTATTGTCGGGCGTCTGTAAGCATGCCTATGTTCCAGGACCTGGCGCAGTGTGAATATTTGGTCGATACATCCACGGCCAGGTCTAAAGCCTGCCTGGTTTTCTCGGGCTTGCTGTTCCCGAGCTCCACTCAGGCGTCGGAGAATTATAGAACTTAGGATCTTAGACACTATATTTGTCAGGCTGATTCCTCTGTGGTTATCACAAGAGGACTTCTCGCCTTTCTTGAAGACTGGGATGATGAGTGACTTAGACCAGTCGGAGGGGATCGTATTTGATTCCCATATACTGGCTAACACTTCCGTTAGCCTGACTAAGAGAACTCTACCACCATTCTTGTATACCTCAGCAGGTAGTCCGTCTGGTCCTGCTGCCCTTCCCGTTTCAGG